GAGAGAGAGAGAGAGAGAAGAACCCATTATACTTGACTTGAGGTTGTCACCATGGCATTTTTCTTTACATGATGAATACTTGAATGCTCTATGGTTTCTTGTAGCCTTAGCAAACCCTGCCAAACCAATTTTACACTTACACTCCACAGGGAGTCCCATGCCAATGCAATGTCCATTGGAGAGAGAGAGAGAGAGAGAGAGAGAGAGGTGGGTGGGAGGTTGCTTTCATAAAGGTAATGTTATTATCAAACTTGTGGCAATTGCTTTTATTATTTGCTTTGGAGAGGATAGAGACCCCACTGCCACTCGAAGAGAAAAACATTTAAGAAAGAGACCCCACAACACCAGTATTAGTTTTTTTAGATTATGTATTCAGATATACTCTGACTAATTTTTTTTTTGTTTGGTCAAAAATAGGTCATCTATGTCGGGACTAAGATATTAATGAGAGATAAATCCCTTATAACCTGATCTCAAAAGATTACAAAGTTTTCGCCTGTATTAATTTTGAGAACTTTGAAACCCACCCCCACCAACTTTGTTTATTGAGGTAATAAGATATAAATAAGTTTTTGCTTCAATAATTATTCCCGAATTCAAAAATGATAAATTATTATATTATCATTTTGACCGTTAATAATAATAGATATTGGAGTACAATTACTATCTTATCTAAATAAACTAACCCCACCCACAATAATTGTGACATGAAACCATATACAACTTGTTAGAAAATTAGTGTATTTGTTTCTAAGATTTGCCAGCAAGTTCGAATAACTATGTTTTGATGAAATAAAAAATTATTTAAATAAGTTAGCAACTCTTAGATCATTCTAATTGATCTGTTATCTTTAGGATTACAATTGTTATGAGTCTTATACTTATCTTAAATCCAATCCCTATCTCTTGTAATTTCAAACTATTTGTATAATGTATTATAAATACAATACTTTTACCCTGGAATGGGTGAGGAGGCATTCAAACCACGTCACTCTCTGTAAGTTTTTTGTTACCATGTAAAGTGTTGCAATGTGACCATTCAGGTTAATTTTTTTATCGGTGTCGATTCAAGTGGTAATAAAAAAAAATTGAATTTTGACAACCCTTTAAAATAAAGTTATGAGTGATTTATACCTTATGAACATCCTAGTCTCGGCATAAATGACATGTCTTTGATCGGACTGAGAAGAGAACTAATCGATATGCGTATAAGTTAGTGTAAACACACCTGACCTTTAATTGAACCAAAAAAAAAAAAAAAGGAGCTGCACATATACTGCCCCCACTCTCTTTTACTTTGGGAAATAAAAAATAATTATATAGATTGTAATACATTTTGTAAATTTGCCTCCACAAAACAACCCTACTACACTTAATCTAATAAATCACTTCTAATTATTGGACTAAATTTATGAATTACCCATTAAGTGAACAAATAAGATTTAGTTAGTGGAATTCCGCAACATGTGTTTGAGAAATTATTTTGAAGCTCTTTATTGTCTATGTATATATTTCCTTTCTCTCACCGTTTTTAATTTGATTTATTGGATAATAAAATTATCATGCAATATTTTTATAATATGGTCAAAAATAATTATAAAGTTTAAGTTGATTCAATGTGATCTAAATGTTAAAAATTCTACGTCCCACAAACATTTTTTCACATACGGGGTAATATTACGTACATAAACATTTCTTAGACCTTGCATTAACGGGAGGCTTTGTGCATGGGGGTGGTCTTTTTTGCATTATTAATAATAAAAAACTGTTTAATCTTACTATTTATCAAAAGAGTGATAATATTGGGACCTATTTGAAAGAATAAAATGTTACCAACATTGAATTAGCAATGATTCTTCGACTCTTATGGTGTGTTTGGTTGACTGGATAGAAAAATAAAATGATAAAAAGTGGGAGTGATATACTTTTAATGTTTTAAGAGAGAAATTATTCTCTCACTCATTTGTGTTTGATAGGAGGGATAAAAAATAAAAAAATAAAAATATTGATTTTTTTGTATTTGGTAAGATAAAAAAAATAAAATGATAAAAAAATATAAATACATATTTTATTATTATATCTATACATAAAATTAATACATACATAAATATATAATAAATAAATATGATATATGCATATTAAAGGATATACATTCAACACACATAATTAATTTTCTATATACATTTTCTCTCAATTTTGAAGAGAATGATTTTGGTTAATTAAAAGGAAAATTAATTCATCCGCTTTTTCATCCTTCATATTTATATTTCTTACAAAATATGATGTTTTATCTATTTCGCTAATTTTTCTTCCTTTCAACTTTACTCTTCCATTTTTTATCGTACCAAATGAAGTATTAACATTGAATGTAATATGTTTGTTATTTCGATGGTAGCAAATGTATAAAGTCTCTAAATTTGGTGCCCAACCTTGGTTATTGGACCTTAAAATCGTGAGTTTGAAGATCATCATCCTTTTCCACGTAATATTATCTAATTCCAAAAAAAATTAAATATAAACAATATTGTTATTGTTAAAATTTACTCCCACTACGATAAAGTTATGGTTCTTAGTTTGGCTTTTGTTATCTTATACGTATAAACTAAAATAATAATGTTATTTAAATTTAATTTATTGATTTAATCTATCACAACTATTAAATTGATTGTAAATTCTAACAAATATTGAGGTTCAATGTCAATCTTATAGTTATAAATAATTAAATTAATAAATCTATAATATAAAACATAACAACTTTCGATAAACACATGACGGTTTCAAATATATTTATTCAACGGTTATTAACATCTTTTTTAAAATTATTCACATTAATTTACGTTGTACCGTGCCTTCAGGTACGGATTACCTCTAATTAAATTAGTAAATTATATTTAAATAGCATGGTTTAAACTAAAAATTATAAATCTATAATAATCAATTATTAAACTTAAGAGAATAGTTAATCCAAACTTGAACAAGCGAAAAAACCATGGATCATGTGAAAAACCAAAACCGCGTGAATTTAATTTTAGCCAAGAGAGTCAACATGTTTAAGCCCAAGAAAGTCAAATATTCTCCACTTTGGGAGTTGGGACCTCTCATTTGATTTCACCAACCCAATACATTTCCACCACGTGTTCAAATCTCGTCCAAACCACACACTTTTTCACAGCCCCCCACTCCCACTTGCCCAGTCAAAATAAAAACCTCACGGATAAGGAAATAATAAATGAGGAGAATCTCACTTTGCACCTCAAATAATTTAAGATTTTTTACTTTATACCCTTAAATATTATATTTTTTTATATTAAACCCTCAATGTAATAAAAATATTACAATAAGACTCTTTCGTTAGTTATTGTTTCGTATTCCGTTAAAAATCACTTCATTAACCACTCCACTGATGTTGACATAATGTAAAATAAAATCTAATGAAAGGGTCATATCATAATAATTTTAATACATTTAGGGTGTAATATAAAAAATTTATAGAGATTTGACGATAGGTATACAGTCGTGCACTTTTAAGACAAAAGGTCTAACTTAAACATTTTTAAGTTGAAAGGTTCAAAAAATACGCAATTGACAAAAAATCATTTAGTTAATGAGGTTATTTAAAAACCTCCACTACCACCCACCACCACTCACAAGTGAACTAAAGACAGAAAACTCCACGATAATGAACTAATGACAATAAATTACACGACAATAAACTAAAAAATTTAGTGTGTTTTGTTATATATTAGGGATAACTCATACTTAAAGATATGGTATAATGTGAATAGTTTTGGAAGGGATGTTAATGACCATTAGATAAGGTTATTTGAGACCATCGGATGGACTTATTGAAATCTACCCTATTTTATATTATAGATTATAGATTAAAAAATAATTGAATTTTTTAGTTCATTATTTTTAGTTTACTATCATTTAGTTCACTGTGGGTGATAGTGATGATGAATTTTTATGAAAAAAGAGCTAGATTTACCCATAAAAGAAATAATAGTTCTCGTTTGGCTACGATTGGACAAAGGGCAAAAACATAAATGATAATATTATCATTTAAAAAAAGAAAAATTAGTTTGAACTACGTAACAACAAAATTCAGCATTTCTGAACTTATTTATAAATTAGTCACAGGATTTGTAGTTTTCAACACAAAAATTTAATCTTTAAATGTATAAAATAAAATTTTAAAATTTTTTCAGGATATCAAATGTAATTCGCCCAATAGATGAAAAGTTTAAAATGGGTTTCACGAGCCAGTTTAGCACTTCAACAAACCAAAAAAAGCAGAGAAAATTGTGAACACAGAGAATATCACGTTATTCTAATGACACCCCCACGCCTTTTCCTCTTTCTCCATCCTCACAGCGCCCGAGATTGCACGAGAGAGCCTACCGTCATCTACCCATCATTCTCTTCTTCCCATACCTCTCTAACGCCTCCCCAAAAATATACACACTAATTTATATATAAAAATGAAATAAATCTATTTTTTTTTGAAAAAAAGTGAAGAATTTATCTGTTTTTGTTCCATCTCCAGAAACATCTGGATTGGTATCTAACAGGAAAATTTTATTTAAGAGTAACTGTAGAAAGCCTTAAAAATTAGATTTGATAATAATCTCAACTATTGAATAAGTAATAGATCCCAATAAATACTGAGATTCACAATAAAATCAATGGTTGAGATTATCAAATCTATTTTTTAAGTCCATATAACATTATTTTTTATTTAATTTCTTTTTTTTTTGGGTCCTCATTTTTTCTTCCTATTTAAATTGTTTTTGATCAATTCCTATTTAATCTTCAATAATTTTTCGGTACAATATTTTCTATTTTTTATTAATCAAATCAAAACACATACAAACTTTTTATATTTCTATTATTTATTTTATTTTATTATTTTACAATCAATCACTATTAATAAATTAAGACAATATAACATAATGTCAGCAGGGACGTGAAATTAGATAGGATTAAAATTTTTGTTAAATCACTCTTTAACTCCAACCGATACTCTTTAATAAATAAAATCAATACGATTAAAATTAATATAAAAAATATATAATATAACTTATTTATATATCAATTAGACATAATTTCTTCGCAATACAAATCCGATAGGATGAGATTTGTTAAACCCGATTCACAGGCGTCCTTACATATCCTTTATAAACAAAAATGAAGGGGGTAAAGCATAGTAAAGATGATCTGAAAACTCCGATTATATATATTTCTCTTATATTTTTGTACTCCAAGAAAATGAAAACTCAGAAATTTAAAAATTAAAGGAAAAAAAAATAAAAATCCAAAATTTTAAGGCTTCTCTTTGAGAAGAGAAGCTAATCCGGTGACAAGGACCTTAGTCTTGGGTTTAACCGCCGGCGGCTGCCACGGCGTCGAAACCGTCGGCGGTGACTTCTCACCTTCGCCGGGATTCTCCACCGGCGATGTCAACGACGACGAAGAACTGGTCTGTTCTCTATCCGTCTCCGACGACGTCGTCTGCTCACCGAAAATCAACTCGAACTCTCCGCAATCACTCTCCACAGCTACCAAAAAATCCTCATTTCTGCCTTCGGTGTTGGTCTCTTCAACGGCGTCGTTTGGAACTGGTGGAGGAAGCTTGGTTCTGGTGTGAGGACTGAGCCATTTGTTTCTGGTATATTCAGCTTTCCTCCACGGAGCTATGTGCATCCCTTTCTTCTTCAAGCTCTGTATTGCAGCCTCCGATACAACCGAAACGATCTGTTGAAGACGATCGGCTTTTCCGACAAAGATGTACGGCAAGGATTGAAGAATCGCTTTGTAATTCCCGGTCGATCGAGCTATCTCGAACTCTGATCTGAAGTCTATGTCTATCAACAACCTCTCTCCTTCCACAATCACATCCACATACTCGTATTCCCCTGAAATTTAACCCAAAAATCAGAGAAGAACAAATTTATAGAAATTTCTACAAACACATTCAAATGAGAGAGGGAGAGAGAGATTTACCGGCGGGATAAGTGGAAGATTTTTCCCAAAGAGATTTACAGATTGAAGCATCATAGCCGAGACCTGAAAGGCCATCGGCGACAATTTTTCTCAGATCGTCCTTTCGCTTGCAGGTTTTGTTCTTATCGACGATCTTCGAAGAGTCTGCTAAGAGATTTCTCTCCACAGCACTCGCACAAGGAATCAAACTCTACAAAACAATATAAAAATAAAGAATCAACTTGTGAAATACTGATTTGAAATGTAACTAGAGTGTTATCAAGAAGTTTTTAGCAAATTTACCTTGAGAGTATCGGAAGATTCAGGGTTTGTGTTTGAGTCACCAAAACCACTAAAAACATCAAATTCATCATCAGAACTACCATTATTGTTCCCGTTGAAGCAATTGCATCGATTGCGACCACATTTCATAGCCGATGGCTTCTCATTAGTCTCCTCCATGAAATTCTGAACCATTTTCGCCAAGCAAACTGAGCTCGGCTCGAACTCTGCACCTCCATCTTTACCATACTGCGCTTCATCACCACTAGGCTTCTCCGGCGCCGATGAAACGCGTAGAACGCTTGGAAACTGCCGATCAAAGAGCCTCTTCAAACGAGATTTCAACACAGGCTTTGCCAAATCGCTTCGCATCGGTTCACGGTAATTCTGAGAATAAATCGGTTCCGGAAAGTTCTGAGAATCAATCGGTTGAATCTTCATCGGAGGCATTGTTGTCAGCTCTATATCACTCAAAACCCCAAAAAAAAGGTCCTTCCTCTGTCCTAAACCCTGCTTGCACCGTCTAATTATACTCTACTATGTGTCAGACCTCTGATTTCTGATCAATTTCTCAGAGCAATTAAAGAGGAATGGGGACTTTCGTTGGGTTGTTACAGTGACGAATAAAAAATAAATGCCGAATTCTTGAATACAACCCTCTGTTTTCACAGAAATACATGAACTATGAAAAGCACTTGAACATGAAATTCAATGCTCTGAGGTTAGGTTCAACAGATTCATCATCATCATCCTCATCTACCTCCCACTCCACTTTTGCACACCAAATCAAATCAACACTATCTCACATCAGCTGATCATCATCACCGTTCGTCACACATATCAATATCACCTCATCCAATCAAAACTCAAAACAAAAACAAAATCCGTCAAGAAAAAAAGAAAAATCGATACCTTTCTCTCGGGTTAATTAAGAAACGAATAACTTCACAAAATTGCTGCGGTTTAGTGGTTTTCGTGGAAAACGTGGCCAGGATGAACGGAGACGAGGACAATGCGTTTGTAGAGAGAGGAACCAAAGATCACCGGAATATTCATTTTCCGGTGAGGTTATCTTCACCGGCGGTGGAGAGATCTGTTGTTTTTCGACAAAAGAGATGGTTTTGGGATTTTGTGTAGAGTTACCACTGATGGAGTCGGTTGGGTGGGGGAGTATATATAGGAAGAAGGTTATAAGGTGTGGGGTTGCTGACTAGGATCGTATTAGCCATGTGGCATCCGACGTGGATTGAATTATCCTGAAATTTGAAGGGTAGTCACGTGGTAATGAGCCTAAATCGTGTTAGAAAATATTTTATTCATACGGATTCATTTCTTAATTGGTTTTTAACAAATTGTGATATGTCAAATTTATGTTATATAAATAGTATATAAATAAATTATGTCATCTATTTTTTTAATAGTTGTGATGATGCACAAAAATGGTTTTGCACACCACCTGTCAAGTATAGATAATAAATGCAATGAAATCAACGAAAAAATTAGAGAAGACACAATTTATAGTGGTTCGGTCAATTCGTCCTACGTCCACTCTTCAATGGCTTCAGTTGCCGGGTATTTTATTGATTCAAAGGTATGGAGAATGGAGATACAAGCTTTGAGAGAGAGAATGGAGAATCAAATAAAATAGTAATCTCCGGTAGTCAGTTCGTCTTCTGTAAGTCTCTGATGGAGCATGTGTTTTTTTTCTCTCACAGATTAGAGCCATTTTATAGTAGATAAGAGATCATTCTTGTGGAGATCATAACATATCCTCAAGGCTTCTTTATCGGAGCTTAGAGATTATCTCTGGTGGAGATCACGACTTATCCTCAACGGAAGGAAGAGGTTGGGGAACTCTTGAAGGAAACGTGGTCAAAGATTGGACCGTTTCCTTCCTTCGGTGGTGCGGATAAGCTTCCCGTGCTCTTTTCTTGGTGACGTGCTAAGCAAGAAGTCTAACCGGCCTTGGGCTCCTTAAGGCGGTACAGATAAACTTCCCGTGCTCTCCTCTTGGTGACGTGCTAAGTAAGAAATCTAACCGGCCTTGGTCTGTCTTGGACTTGGTGGATTCACGATGAGGTTGGGCTCCTCAACCGGGGTTGGGCTTTAATACATAAATTGGACTACTTGGGCTTAACCCATCATTTGCCCCCCAATGCCCCATGTCCAAGGAGACTTGGAGAAGGAGGCATTGATTACATTTTTTTTTTTTTTTTTAAGTTTCTTCCATTTTATTTTAAAGAAGGCCCATAATATTTTGTTTGGCCTTTTTGTTTTGAAAAATGGCTTATAGCTTTCTTTTTGGCCACTTTGTTTTGAAGAGGCCCCATAATTTTCTATTTGCCTACTTTATTTTGAAGAGGGCCCATATTAGTCTATTTGGGCTTTTTTTCCTCTTTTTGAAAAACCCTAGACTATAAATATAGTCTTCTTCTTCAAATTACCACTTCACTTATTTTTAAGGTTGAGCACCCACCTTTTGAAAATTTTGAGAACTCAAGTCCTACCCATTTTGTTGAAGCCAAAGTGTGTATTCTCCTTGAATCCTTCCAAGAGTGTGATTTCTTCCTTGCTAGTTGAGCTTCTCAAGTGAACAATGTCGATTGAAGAGGGATTGGTGGAGGTTGAAGAAAGTTGTGGATCTGAAATTGAAAGGCTGGGTAGCGAAGAGGAGGCGAGGAGTGGCGAAGGCGCGCTGGGCGCGCGGCTGCGCAGCGCGCGGGGGGCCTGGGCGGCTGTTCTGCGCGCGCTGGGGGCCTGGGCTGTTGCTCTGCGCGCGCTGGGGGCCTGGGCAGTGGCTCTGCGCGCGCTGGGGGCCTGGGCGGCTGCTCTGCGCGCGCTGGGGGCCTGGGCAGCTGCCAAGGCGCTGCTCTTCCTGTCCTGGACAGCCCAGGCGCGCTGGGCAGCAGCCTAGCTGCTGCTTCTGCTGTCCCGGACAGCTTCAGATCTGCTGCGCTGGGCAGCTTTGGAACGCTGGGCAGCAGCATTTTTCCATCGAGGGGTGCTGAAAATCAGTCCAAAGTTTGTCAGGGAGAGCTAGGCAGTGGCCTGGGAGCACGGGCTGATCCGATTCTCACTCGAGGTGCTGATTTGGGCGCCTTAGGTGCTGATTTTTGCGCCGAAAATTCTGCTTTGTGCAATATTGAAGGGCCAAGCACCCTTCAAGCTACTGGGCAACTTTGTTTTGATGAGCAACGGCAGTCAGGCACACTTTCAGGCGTTGGGCTAGAAATTGCAAGCAGTAGGGAAGCTTTGGATGCTGCCCTTGATGATCAAGCCCTTGTTGTAGTTCCCCCGATTCAAGTTCTTCAAGACTCTCCCAATGGTGATTTGGACTACTCCTTAAGGCCCCGGAAGAAGAAACGCAATAGCAAAGTGGGACCTGATGATGACGGGTCTAAGGTGAGCACCCTTCGTAGTTTGTTCTGCTCAGATGAAGATATTTCTAGGCTTGTTTTTACTTATCGCATCCCTCCGACCGTGTTGTGCCGTCGGGCTGAGTTGGGCGAGTTTGCTTGCGATGACTCTTCGGGGATATTGTCGTCTACGAGGAGATGCTTGAGGCTGGGTTAAGATTTCCCATGTCTTCCCCCATTTGTCGAGTTTTGCATTACTTCTCCTTGACCCCGGGGCGACTAGCACCCAACGGTTGGAGAGTCCTGCTCGGTTTTCTTGTCTTATGGAGAAAGGTGCACCACGAGGATGCTTCCCCTATGGAGTTTCATGCAGCATATAATTTGAGCGAAACCCCTACACCAAATAGGGGATGGTATTATTTTACCGCGCGGAGTGGTACAGTGCTTACAGGGATGCGCTCTAATTGCGGCGGCTGGAAATCTTGTTTCTTCTTTATTGGTGGAGAATGGGCTTCAGAAGCCGACAGAGTTTTGGTGCCAACACATTGGGGTGCTGCTAAAAAGCCCGGTATGCTGCACACTTCTTTTTTTTTTTTTTTTTTTTTTTTTTTTTGTGTGTGTGCTCACTTTTTCTATGTAGATATACCTGTGCTTTCCCGGGACCAGGAGTGGAAATTGGAGGCTGTCAAAGCTTGCCCTTGCAAAGATTTGGGAGTTCTCCTGCCCAAGTATACTAGAGCTGTAGCTCCATCTCAGAAATCTGGCAGCTCCTCTTCGAAGAAAAAGGGTGAGCTAGTTTCCTCTCCCCTTTTTTTTTTTTTTTTTTTTTTTGACCCTTCTCTATTTCTTGCAGCGAGTAAGAGGGTGGTGGTGTCCCGTTTTTCTAGCAGGAGCCCTCCTTCTTCCAAAGTGATAAGGACAGATGATGCCCCCCATGTGGCTTCCACGGTGGCTCCTTCTCAACTGGCAACTTCTCCAACTGCTGCTCCAGAATCTTCTTCTTCCAAAGTGATAAGGACAGATGATGCTCCCCATGTGGCTTCCACGGTGGCTCCTTCTCAACTAGCAACTTCTCCAACTGCTGCTCCAGAATCTTCCTTGCCAGGCACATCTGTTCCACCTTTATCCTCTCCTCGTGCTACCCCTCCTTTGTCTCCTCCTTGTTCAGGAACTTCTACCCAAGTGCCGATTTGGGCTGGTGCTATGATGGGGAGACCAGCAGCTATCAGGGCAAGGCTTGGGAGGTTTGTGTTTGGGCCAGAAGTTTCTGAGCTTAGCGCTTCGGGCACTGATAATATCGTCAACACGTATTTGGAAGGTCTGGCTCAGGTAAGGGTCTGCTATTTCCCTTTCTCCAGTCGTTTCCTGTGTTTTTGACTCCTTTTTTTTTTTTTAGGTTTCGACTTCCTCCATCTGCTTGCTTTCGAGGGCCTATAATCAAGACAAGCTGAAGCTGGATCTTAGCCTTGTGCAGAGGGAGCTTATTACTGCTCAGGAGAGGATTGTCGAGCTTGATTCTGAGCTTTTGGTGACCCGTGAGAGGGACGTGCTCCGGGAGGGTGAGCTTGTGGCAGCACATGAAAGGTTTTCTAATTTAGAGTCTGAGCTTCTGGCGGCCCGCGAGAGGGACGCGCTCAGGGATGGTGAGCTTGCTGCAGCCCATGAGAGGGCCACTAAGCTAGAGGCTGAGCTTTTGGCAGTCCACGAGAGGAGCGCGCTCAGGGATGGTGAGCTTGTTGCAGCCTATGAGAGGGCCACTAAGCTAGAGGCTGAGCTTTTGGCAGTCCGCGAGAGGAGCACGCTCAGAGAGGCTGAGCTTGTAGAGGCCCATGGGAGGGCCATGCTCAGAGAGGCAGCTGTTGCAGAGGCAAAGCTGACGGCTGCTAGGGAGAGAGTTTCCCGTGCTGAGGAAGACTTGGAGAACGGTCTTGCAGATGCTTTTATTGATGGTTTCGAGGATCTCCGAGGGAAAGTTTCTACCGCTTTCCCTAATATTGACTTCTCACCTTTCGTGCCCACTGACGACAGTGATGAGGGGAGATCTGATGCTGTTGATGACAATGAGGAGGAGGTGGGGGACGACCATGAGAGCAGTTAGAGTATTTAGGACTTTTGATTTTTTTTTTTTTTTGAAAAGGCGGTATTTGGCCTTATGTTTGTACCGATACTCCTTTGAAATGAAATACAGGAAATCTTTTTGGAGTATAGAAAATTTTATTAATTTATTGCTTATAAAAAGCGATATTGGGCAATAATTCCCAAAAAAAAAAAAATAAGAAATACATTGAAATCTTGGGTAACACCGCTAAAAATCAAATCAAGTCCCAATTTCTACTGCTTTGATGCTCTCAAGGTGTCATTGGTAATACCTTTTCAAATGCTCTGCATTCCATGGATGGAGTAAAACTTTTCCCTCAGAATCTTGGATTTTGTAGGTGCCTGGTCTCACTACTTCTGTTACGCGGTAGGGCCCTTCCCAATTTGGTCCCAGCTTCCCTTCGCGTGCATCTTTTGTAGCGAGGATTACTTTTTTGAGGACCAAATCCCCAGGTTGGAAAGAACGGGGCTTCACCCTCGAATTGTAGTACCTTGTCATGCGCCGTTTATATTCCGCGTTGCGGACTACAGCCATCTCCCTTGCTTCCTCCACCAAGTCGAGGTTGCTACGGAGTCCTTCCTCGTTGGTGATGGGATCGTGGTGCTGGACCCTTAGGGAGTGTACCCCTATTTCCACAGGGATGACCGCCTCGGTTCCGAAGGCGAGGGAAAAAGGAGTCTCCCCA